GGCTCTTTGTTGCGGCTCAACATCTGACTTCCGTGTTAAAGTTTGGTCTCATTTTGAACTGGAGCGTCTGCATGCTCGATTTGTTACGATCCAATACAGTTATCCACCATACAGGATGAATAAATCCTGGTCTTTGTTGTCTTAGCGAACATTAACCACAAAATAAATAAAACACACAACACAAACCACCAATTCAAGGCAGTTCTAAAAAGGTGAGTTGTGATTTGGGATTTGAACAGAACAAAAACGTTGATGAATTCTCTCGGCAGATAATATGACCGGCATATTATCATTAACAATCAAGCATCAGGCCTAATAATCTGAGTCTGTCAGTGTTTTTAACCAGTGGTAACTGGGAAAACATTGTGTTTTGCTAACATTGTCGAGGAGCAAAAACCTCAGTGACCACTTGGAAATATCTTCCACTTATTAACTCTTTTTAACATTGATATTTTCCCAAGAAAAGCCTCTTTTTTCCCCCACAGGCCACACAGTCTGTCTAAGACAAAAACTCTATGTGAAGTCCAGGCTTTTGCTGCCCTCTGCTGCCAAACCAGAGCGGTCTCTGTGTCTCCCAGTGAGGAATATCTGCTGATGAAAAGCAAAATCAGTGCGGGTACAGTATCACTTCCTCTAACTCACTCATATACTCCGTAACACTGTTTGTTTGTCTCCTGCTGAGTCTTGGATAAAACCCTGCAGAGAGAAAACACTCTCTGTGTTGCTCTGTAGCTATTCTAAACTGTGTTTCTAAACTTCACCTCCTACACAAACACACACGTTTTCATGGCGACGTCTGCACCCTCCCCCTCTGTCTCCAGTCTTTGTGCATGTGTGTTATACTGCCTCACCTGTCCACCTGTCCACCTGTCCACCCTCAGACACAAAGACAGGTAGACAAAGATGTCTATTTAATTGATGCAAAGATACATTTTTGTAATTTGTAATAAAGCCGCAGCATCTTGTAATATTATCTGTAATCCAATGAAAACTGAGCAAGACTTGTTTAGTTATTATACATCAAATAATATATACAACTTAAGTACAGCCTTAAAAATGACCACAGCGAGTGTTACAGTAACATCTCTCTGACACTAAGAGCTTGATAAAGATAGGATTTAACTGGCTGTGACCAACCAACCACAAGAGGGCAGCACAAACTGAAGAATACAAATGTGCAGCCAGTTGATGATATTATAAGACAACAAGTGCAAAGCCTTTGAGTTATTGTCTGCACAGTCAGGATTTAAAAGGTTAGTTACTGTGTTGTCTGGAAAGGAGAAATAGATCAAATTAATTCAGCTTGAAACTTATTACCACATATACACATAGTGCTTTTGTTTCCTAAACTACATAGCTGATATTGTGACTGACTGTGGCTGTAACTCTCAGGAGGGACCATTCTTTCATTTTTATTGTTTTGGCATCATATGTTTGTTTTTTTATTATAACAAGCTGCTGTATCAACTTCATTTTTATTGTACTGCAGGCCTGGTTATTGAGAGCCAGAGCTCGGAGGCAGACAGGCTTTTTAACAACTCAGATTTACATTTTTATTTATGTTTTTGAATCAGCACATCTGATAGAGAGACACCGCACTTGTTTGCAAACTATTGAGATCATGAAAGTATCACAAATCAAATATTTACTACTAAATAATATCCAATTGATAAGAGAAGGCCTGGAGCGAGACAATCATATCACCAACAGCAGGAACAAAGTCCGCTGCCACATTTTGATGGTCTGGTCATATATACAATATACAGGGATATTTGTGTACATTTGTATTGATTGAAATATATCTTATATTACTACTTCACCCTCAATCGACACCCCTCACTCACCCATCAAACGGATCACACGTAAATGGACACCAATGCACACACACACACACACAGAAACACACACACACACACACACACACGGGCCCCAGTGCACGCTATCATGACGGGCCCTGGTGCACTATCATGACGGGCCCCGGTGCACGCTATCATGACGGTTTCCGGTGCACGCTATCATGACGGGCCCCGGTGCACGCTATCATGATAAATGGACACCAACGCACACACACACACACAGAAACACACACACACACACACACACACACACACGGGCCCCAGTGCACGCTATCATGACGGGCCCCGGTGCACGCTATCATGACGGGCCCCGGTGCACGCTATCATGACGGGCCCCGGTGCACGCTATCATGAC